TCGGTTCGACGGAAATATCAATGTCAACACTTAAATTTTAAGACCTAATAAGCGTACAGTACATAAGTAAGCAGACTGTATATGAATCCATTTACGGAAAAAAATAACACACACACACACACATGAACCGCATCCATGTTGCCAAATGTGGAAGAGGTATGAATGAGACTGGATATCTTCACAATACAAGAGATGTATTTCACCGATTTCGATTACGTCTTCATCAGAAATGCATGTATTTCTGACGAAGATAATCGAAACCGGTTAAATACATCTCTTGTATTGTGAAGATATTCGGTTTCCTATATTATATATATATATATATATATATATATATATATATATATATATATATATATATATATATATATATATATATATATATATATATATATATATATATATATATATATATATATATATATATATATATATATATATATATATATATATATATATATATATATATATATATATATATATATATATATATATATATATATATATATATATATATAATATATTATATATATATATATATATATATAATATATATATATATATATATATATATATATATATATATATATATATATATATATATATATATATATATATATATATATATATATATATATATATGACCTCTTGAGTAAAAGGCATCTCTAGCTGATTTAGAAACTTTACACTTTCCTTCTCATAAGAACAGAGAACTTTATCATACGATGGACATTAGCTGATCAGACCTTTTCTTATAAACTTGATTGGTAAACGGTATTTATTATATATTCGTTATTTATTTTTTCTATTTGTTATTTGTTCTTTTATTCTTTGTTTATCTATTTATTCGTTATTCATTTATTTGTCTATTTCATGTATCTACTTGGGTATTGATTCATCTATAATTTGGATTCGAAAGAACAGTGGAATGAAGGTGGTGATGATGATGATGATGGTACTGGTGATGGTGATGATGAAAGTGATAATGATGATGGTGGTGATGATGTTGGTGATGACATAACGTAACAATGATGAAAAATGATTGATAATGATTGATAAAATAATAATAATAATAATAATAATGATTGATGATAATGAATAATAATGGATAACAATAAGGAATAACTATTAATAATAATGATCATGATGAAGTGGAGTAGGATAATAATAATGATAGTGATAATAATAATAATAAAAGTAATGATATTAAGGATAATAATAATAATAAAAGTAATGATATTAAGGATAATAATAGTAACAATGATAATTATAATAATGATAATAGTAATAATAATAATAATAATAATAATAATAATAATAATAATAATAATAATAATAATGATATTCAATCTAAAAAGTTTTCTAAAAATAGGAAATAGTTTTTTTTTACGAGTTGCGCAGTTCAGTATAAACATAAATTTATTCCAGCACTTTTTTCTGGCCAATAAGCGGAAATTCGGTGACCTAAAAATAATTCCGTTCCTTATAAACGGTACGGTGTTTTTTTAAAAAGGTTTTCCCGCGAATTGACTGCAAGCTCATGACGTCACACGAACCACAATGGATCTTGTAGAGAAAGACCATGGGAATTTATATTTCGTATTTCCATCTTGTGTCTTCACCGAATAGCTTGTAAAAAATATTTGAGTGTATATATATACATATATGTGTGTGTGTGTGTGTGTGTGTGTGTGTGTGTGTGTGTGTGTGTGTGTGTGTGTGTGTGTGTGTGTGTGTATACATTTTAAATTTGATAACACGTTCCGGTGTCTCTCTCTCTCTCTCTCTCTCTCTCTCTCTCTCTCTCTCTCTCTCTCTCTCTCTCTCTCTCTCTCTCTCTCTTCTCTCTCTCTCTCTCTCTAAGATATGGAGCTCCAGTCTTTTATGTATACGCGTAAAAAACACACACAATCAAAATGTAGATATATCTATACCAAGTTATACATTTTTCTGAAATTAAAGTTAACCTAATTATACTGATGGATTATTCGAAATAACTGAATCTGCTTCGAAATATGATTCGCGGGCCGATGGAGGTCAATTGATCGAAGCGTCTCATTAAAATATATAAATAAATAGCTAGATGAGATATCGACGTGATATGCAATCGATAGATATAATAAACATAAATAAAAAACGATCATACATCGATGAGCGCCATGAAGAGAATAAAAAAGCCACATTTCCCCGCACTGAATGGAGAAAGGTGTGAACACTACCCAGAATTCCCTGGGAGTGAACCGCGCGCCGAAACATGCATCGGATATATAATAATTACGACTATTTGCTCGTACTAATTCTATGAAACAACAAAACTCACTTTGTTTGATTATATTTTAAATATCAAAATATTATTCTTATAAAGGAAGGACAAAAAAAAAAAGACTCCATAAAGCATACAGTAGGAAAATCCCTTTGTTACTGAATGTTGTCAAGTGACGCTTTTAATTGTCCGTTTTATACACGGATTCTTATGACAGGAACATTCACATAAACAAAT